TAAGTGTGACAAACATGCAAAAAAATAAGAAATCAGGAAGGGGGCAAACACTTTTTCACACAACTGTATATATACAATTTGGGTCGTGGGTCGCAGCTTGTCATTAAGGGGTGATGGTGGTTCCCGCAGCCAGACCAGTTGAGAACCACTGCCGTAGAACATGAAGAGTGAAGACGAGCTGAACATGTTTCAGACGTCACCTGAAGTTAAACTGTCTGAATGTTTCTCACTCACCTGGTTGTCGTCGGGGTCAAAGAGGTGAACTCCGACTGCAGGAGGTGTGATCTCCATACTGTCAAAATAAAAGCCTGGAAACACACCAAACAGCCGGTCAGAGGGAGGGAAGGGGGGAAGGAGGATAACAAAGAAGACAGGAAGAAGAAAAAAAGGAAACAAATAGGAAAAGATGGAACATGCGAAGGTGTGGAAGAAGGAAATAGGAAACAAAGGAAGAAAGAAAGGAAGGAGTAAAGGAATACAACAAGGAAGAAGCAAGGAAGAAAACAGGTGAAGGCAGGGAAGAAGGAAGAAAGGAAAGATGAAAAGCAGGAAATGAGAAGGAATGAGGAAAGTAGAGGCAAGGAAGGAAAAATGACGGAAGATGGAAGGAGAACTAATGCAAGTAGAAGGAAGTGAGGAAGGAAGGAGTTAGGGAGGATAACAAGGAAGGAGGAAGGAGGAAGAAAGAAAGGAGGAAGCTGATGGTAGGAATAAGGAAGAAGGGTGAAGGAAAGGGAAGGAGGGACGAAATAAGCGAAGAAGGAAAAGAAAGAAGGAAAAAGGAACTAGAGAAGGAAATGTAAGGTAGTAAGGGAGGAAGAAAGGATACACATGTAGGTAGCGAAGGAGTAAATGGGAGTTGGGGGAAAGAAGGTGAGACACAAGGAATGAAGGAAGCTTCACCGATGTGTCCATTGTTGCCCAGCGGCGTGTCTCTCAGGGCACCGGAAAAGAGTTCCCATGATCCTCCAGCGCTCTCGTTCCTGATTCGTTCCCTCGTCAGAGACCCGTTCTTAAAGCTGCACACACACACACACACACACACACACACTTTCCCAGAATACTTGTGTAGTTCCAGTACTTAGAGATTTAGAGGAGCTGGTTGGTTGAAATTTGGACGGAGCCAGGCTAGCTGTTTCCCTCCGTTTCAAGTCTTTATGCTAAGCTAAGCGGTGACGTACCACAGCAGAGCCATGAAGGCCCGCCAGTCCAGCGGGTTGCAGAAGACGTGACCCTCCAGCGCTGGGCGAGGCTGCTGGATCCACAAGAACACCGTGTCACTGGTCCCCAGGCTGACCTGGACACACACACACAGTATAACACACACACACACACACACACACACACACACACACACACACA